AGGTCAGTCATGCACGGTAATAACTGTTCTATCGAATAACTAGAAGTGGCAGTTGAATTGCATGCAACAGCCTTGGCCCTGAGGCATGATAAGGGTCGAGTGGCAAAACGACTTAAAGAACGACTCTGTTTTCTTCCGGGCTCAGATTATCTCAGTTGATGTAGAGATCACGAGAAGAAGGTTGACCCTGTTGCACAAACTGATTTAACGCTAAGTTGTTACTCCAGCTCATTGGCTTCTCTTCTGGGAACCGAAATACAGCAGATGTCGATCAGTAAGCATGTAAGCAGGAAAAGCAAAGAGAGGAAGATCCAAGATCCTCTTTAGGAGTGAAGTACTTTTTTATATAATGCAGTAACCAGTGCCTTATTGCAAGTGTTGAAGTTCCAAAGACTTTTGTACTGCTGCGAATGGGCAGATATCACAATCCATAGGCGCCATGCTCATGCAAATGGCTGGAGGTGATGATCTCAACAAACTTCCAATTATTAAGAAGCAACGAAACTGGGAGTGCAAAAGTTGTTCCGTTCGTTTTATGTGCGTAACCATAAAATAGAAGCTACGATGAGCTATTTCCACTCTTTGATATGCCTAGAACAGTTTCATTCAGATTTCTAAGCTTGCGAAGTCGATTGTGTATTGAATTTGAAATGATGATTATTGATGACATGTACGGTTCCAGTTTTCATTTCGTAACTAGCAGCCTCCTTTGAGATCTGTGCTTAATCAGCAACTGAAGTGCTTCTAATTCGGATACATATGTATAGAGATTCATGCTAATTCGCCTTTTCAGTATTTGAAATAACTAAGTCCTCTAGATAGAAAATTTATTTTTTTCCAGTGAAATGATTAGAGACATAAGGAGGATACATCGAAAAACGTTTTTATTTTGAGCCAATGTTTCGAATCACACCATGGTGTTCATAATCACGTCACAAACTGCTGATACCCTGGCAACCGACATGTCGGTGTGTTCTGATGCGTCAACTTAAAATTAGGAAGTTTGAGTCGATGTCTTTGGCTTTGTCTAAAACCATCCTAGCAGAAGATCTTTAATCTTGAAGACTGCATCTCGGTATACTTGTGTATGCCTGGACATAAGACACTACAACCTCTCCAGAAGCTGTTCTATTCAAAGTGGCCTTATGAATTATAGGTAATCCCTGTTTGCTGCATGTGTTCGTCACAACGAGGCGACATGCGGAAGTTGACATCATATGCAGAAATGATACAAAGTTAGCCTGATATTTTATTAATCAAGGTAGTCTAACTTTGGTATCCTACGCTGAGTTTGCCTGATCAGGTGATGCATTCATGGTGGATAACAGGCTTTTCAGAATGCGCCACACCGCTGAAGGCATGGTGGGGAGGTTTCGTGGAGAGTGCGCTGTCGTTTGGAGGAGAATAGAGTCGTATTATTCAGCTATGACTACAGACAGCGCTTATTTGCTTGCCGGCGACGTCCTCAAGTCATCGGGCACCAGTTGTCGCGGTGAAAGTTGCCAATTAACCGGCTACCGTACTCCCGTAAATCTAAACGTGAGGTACGTGTACTGAGGCAAAGACATATGGACGCCGACGGCGCCGACCAACTGGGCCGTCGCATAAGGTCACACGCTGGTCGTAAAGTCGGCCGCGGTAGCGACCGTGAATGAAATGGGCCGCGTAGGTGTCGACGAATACAGTCGGCTTCGGCAATAACGCAGATTTATGCGTTTCATTTCGATACAGCGTCCGGACGGACGACAGATCAAGGGGAGCAATCGGTGTCGGAACAGATTTATGGTATGAGTCACGACTACGGTATAAAACGGTGACGATCGAGGTCATTTCCATGTCAGTGCACACGCAATAACAGCCGTTACCAAGCCAGCGGAGAGAACACGAAACCATGAAGAACTCAGGTACGTGCTGAGGCCCTACTCTTCGTGCCATGTGACTTGTTTCAGTCTCGTTCGTGCTTCGGCGTTGACCATCGCCTGACTGATTCGTTTGTCTGTTTAGCCATCGCTTGTGCCCTGCTCTGCTGTCTGCTGCTCGCCATGCAGGCCTCGCGAGGAATGGCACTGTCACTCACTCGGGGGGCTATCCTCAGGTCAGCCAGGGCGCCTACGATGATCTCGTTGCCCAGTTCGGTCGACCGCCGCGGTTGGGACACTGCTCTGATGGATCAGCTGGATCGCCTGACATCGAACCAGCTGCGTGCCCTGCTGTTGCACAACAGCGAGCTCATCGCGCCGTTGCTCGACGAGTACTACCGCTCGATGGAAGAACCGAAATAGTGCCCTTCTGAAGCCGTGACGAGCCCAAGTGCCGCTGCCACCTTTTGCCGCTGGACGTAGCTTGCGTCGTACCATTCCCACAGGACTGCATGTGCATTTTGTGTAGCGCTTTGTTTCGTACTAAGCCGTATGTGTTTGTTTTCTCAATAAACTGCTTTGAATACGTACACGCGTCGACTTCATCAGGCGAAAGGCTTCTTCCGTAAACAAGGTAGAAACAGTCTCGAAACCGACGAACCCGCTTACCGTCTCTCAGGCTGAATCAGAGCAAGCCCAAATGATCAGAGCGGAAATGACGAGCCTACATGCGTCTACGCGTGACCTCGTGGTGTGCCGCAAAATTCCTAAGCGGTCGACTTCGAACTCCAGCGGTGCCGGTTTCGATCCTGATTCTAGACGGGTAGCATCCCTTGTCTTAAGCACGAATTTCATCGAGCAAGTAAATCACCACTCATTGCTTCAGACCAGGACTAACTCGCTGGTGGAGCGTCGGACTCGGAACAGAGGGTTCCCTGTTCTAGCCTCAGCAGTCAGAGTCCCTCGTTTGCTCCCTTTCTAGGTTGAAAACACGACTCGATTCTGTGCAAACGAAACGGGAGACTGCACATTATACTTGCCACATAGCTGCTGTTGGCGCTCCGTTTAGGAAATGAGCCACTAATAACTGATGGCATCAAAATGGGTATCACAGCCTCACCATTAGATCCCAGGGAGCTGAAGGACGCCACAAACGGCTCAGTGATGAAAGTGTACGGAAGACCGATATTCCAACGGTTACCAACCTTTCTTTCATATTTTAAATACGGCCTTAACCGACCTCCTCTGTGTCACCATATAATGGCAGCCAGTAGTTTAAACGTCAAATCCGTAGCCAAACAAACGTACATTCAAAGCCAGACCGGGTTTTCCGGCTTTTGTCATCCGAGATAGGTACGAAGAACTGAGTAAAATACTAATAAAGCAGAAAATTTTTTATTTCTAATGTGCCATTTGCATCGGAGTCATATTTTGTCATTCGCGCGCCTACGGATCGTTGCAAACTTGATTGAATATACCTTTATTCAACTTTAGTTTCAGATGCGTCCCTGCGTTGTATGCACTGCAGGCGCTTAGATGCCATGGAGCCATGGTCTGCTTAAATTCCCACCCCCCCGTCCCTCAGGCGCTATAAACGAAAGGATGGTGCAATAGTGCTGCTAGTGTAAGGTGAGAAATGGATTTGATTTTTTTACACTGTTAATTCATCATTTCAATTCGGTAACATTATTTCGAATGTGAAGACAGTTTTTATTGCTACGATATGTAAATCAACAGACCTTGCATGATGTTTATAATGAATATGGTGTATGCATGTGACGACAAAAACAAGATAGCTACACGATGAAAATAGCACACAACAAAAATTGCCATATGAATTTCATGCAATTCTTAGTAAGCTGTGACAAAGTTGTTAGTCTAAGGTGTTCAAGAAACCGATTAATGACTATTTATACATCTCTGTTGGGGAGGGGGGAGGGAGGTTGGGGCATGCTGTCAAATTTTGAATGGTTGAGGATGAGGTATGAGCCTTTGCGTTCAAAGAGGTGGTGAAGAAGATTATCTGCATTCAGTAATATGGAATGACAAAGGCAGATAGTTGCCCTGACAACGAGTGTCATTGGCGCAGCTGTGAATTCCTCTAATTGCTGACAAGACTACGTAGCTTTAGAAAATTTAGATATTTCAGATTGCGCTTTCGAAGACAGGGCAAAAGTAGAGGAAGGGCTTAAAAACTGATGACATAATCAAAGTTTTTCATAACTTCAGCAGGGTCTCTAACATGAGAAAGTTTCAGAATGGGAAACCAAGTTCTCTTAAGTTCGTTACATTGTATGAGCACACGCTTACGCTAGTTTAAATGACTCAATAGACACACTAAATCCTCGTTTAAGGACAAATTTCCAAGCATCTGCTCATTTTATCAGCAGAAAAGGAAGGGTTTCGTTTCACTCCTTTCTTCTATGATGTGCGGACCACTGATCCCTCAATCGTCCGAGTTACGGTTTCCACATAATCAGCGGACAAATCATTGAGACTTTGTTTTTACCGCAGATGACTGAATCATACCAACCTCAATCTCTGACTAGCAGCCTCTGGAAGTGTAGGTGTATCTGATGCGGCTGCAGATGTTTCCCGTCTTTTGTTATCACGTAGTTACCGCTCGTTCCTAAGCGTATAATTGATTTAACTAAACAAATTACTCATTGAAAGGGCGTTGACCAAAGATGAGGAGTTGCCAATTTTCCTTACCATTTACTCTTGTAAAATGCTTCAATCAGTCAAACTCACAAGTATAAGTTACAACCGCACATTATAGAGCCTGCAGCGCGAATGACTACTCTGACAGCCTAAGAGTTTATCAAGCCACCAGCCGGCAAGCTAATATGCAAGGAACAAAATTAAACTGACGCTTCAAGCAAATTAAGAACTGTGCGTTGAAGAGTGCTTTATAGTGTAATTGAATGGAGCCATATTATTCATTACAGTAAGTACAAGCGCTTTTATTCAAGTTCTGCAAATCATAGCGGTATAATGGACATCAGACGAGAACCTGCTGAAAAGCCGCCAGGTTGACAATCTTCCTCCAATCGGTCGACGATGACAGGCTCAATTTCAAATTTGCGGGAGATTTTTATTTGTCTAAACTGACGGTTGGAGGATAGCGAGTTCAACCGCACAAACTCACTGCTCAGAATTACGAATGCCCAGATAGGGCAGATGCAAAAGAAGCTAAATTGCGCCTGTGTTTGCCGCAATGCCTTGGCCAATCACAGCTTCTTAAGCTACCTTTGTAAACAGGGCAACAGCGCAACGCATTAGTCGTTTCACATCAATTATTAATTCGGGATTTTCTTGATTTAAACGTACCATTCCCTTGCCTCTAGGAGCCCAAGGAGAATATTTAAGAAGGCCATGACTCCAATGTATTTTAACACCTGTGGTGCCTCGATCGAACGCAGAATTGCATCTATGAGTCAATGGCTAGGCAGAGTTAGCGGTTTGCTTGCTCTTTAGCGGCAGCAGGTTTAAATTCCAAATTCAGAGTATGTTTCTTCTTATTCACTGCTAATTCCGTTCAGCAAATAATTCATCCCATTGCATTTTGGCACAATCAATCGAGAAGCTGGTCCAGAGTCGCCTACCTGTGAATAATAGA